ATGAATCGAAAATAGTCATGCACATATGCATTACCTCACATATATTACACATAGAAAGAAAAAAATAACTTTACATGTTTTTCGAACCAACTTGCGAACGTCTCTTCCACACGTTTCAACAGGGATTCTTCACTAATCTGTGGTGTAGACTCTTTAATTTCATTTGCGCACAACCTGACATACACTTGTTAAATCTCTATGGGTCTATTACAAACCAATATCTGCATTAGATGATAAGCAAATTTAGCTACTTACGTAATATAAGGATCAATCTCTGGACAATTGAAGAGTACGTAATGGTGTGCGGCTTTTAGCTCCTCTGCAGTTAGTTGCCTCTTACGCATTTTCCCTTGTACACGTCCTGGAGTTTGAAATATGTCAAAAATATCTTGATTTGTAACATCAACACCTTCTCGTGATTCGGGGTCATTACGAGGCACATTTCTTGCTCGCGTGTAAACGTGTTCTTCAAAGTAATGAGAACAGAAGTACGACGCCTCTCGGACTAAATACACATTGGCTATGGAACCTTCTACGCGAGCCTTATTTTTCACCATTCTTTTAAGGCGATTGAGGTACCTACAACATTTTCAACGCTTTAGACATATATACCCAATAAACTTTGCAACTTAAAATTAATACTTTTGAAAGTACCTCTCAAACGGATACATCCACCGGTATTGAACAGGCCCAGCAACTCGTGCCTCGTATGGTAAATGAACGGGGAGATGTTCCATGCTATTAAAAAACCCAGGAGGAAAAATTGCTTCTAGCTTGCACAAAATGATTGGGATATCTGCCTTCAACATTTTAAGATCCTCCACAGATATAGTTTTGGATGTTAACCTCTTGAAGTAGTTACTCAACTCCGTAATCGCTTCCCAAACAACCTTTGGAAGTAATGCTCGGAATCCAATGGGCAACAACCTTTGCATGAACACATGACAGTCGTGACTTTTCATCCCAAACATCCTCAGCTTTGTTGGATCAACACATCTTCCC